ATTCATATATCTGGATGTCAAGATGATTAATTAGAAAACAACCTTTTCCGATGGATTTTTGAGGCGCATCTGTAATTCTACATTTTAAGGTTGCAACCTTATATAAACTTTTCCCATGAAAGAATTCACAAACGTGTTCGAAGTTGAGCTTACATGAGGCGCATGGTTCATCTTCACCATCCATTGATCAAGGCAATCAATGGATTGCATTCTACTATTCGCAGATTGTGGCCAGTTTATGGATCTATATAATTGAATTTGGTTATCTAAACTCTATTATTAGAGTGTATATAGTATGTATCTATTATTAGAGTGCACTAAAGGTAATCATTTTAGAATGAAGAGATATTATTTTCAATAAAAACGTTGGAGAGATATTACTTTTAAGAAAAAAAATTTTGAAATTCTAAATACTTAGATTTAACTATCTAATAATTAGTTAAATTATTTTTTTTACACCTCTATGGAAATAGGAGTATACATCTTTGCCTTATCTATATCCGTTTTTGATAACGGAAGAAGATCCTTACCTAACTTTCCATTAATTTTTCCGAATGATATACTCTTATTTGAGATTTTAATCAGCCCGAATGGATATAATGTTAGTTGAGATTTTAAGCCATTATTGAAGTTAAGATTTTAAGTCATTATTGAGGTTGTGGCGAGGATGTAATCTTATTTGAGATTTTAATCCATTAGGTCGAGATTTTAATCAACCCGAATGGATGTAATGTTAGTTGAGATTTTAAGCCATTATTGAAGTTAAGATTTTAAGTCATTATTGAGGTTGTGGCGAGGGATGTAATCTTATTTGAGATTTTAACCCTTTATTGAGGTTGTGGCGAGGGATGTAATCTTATTTGAGATTTTAACCCTTTATTGAGGTTGTGGCGAGGGATGTAATCTTATTTGAGATTTTAACCCTTTATTGAGGTGGTGGTGGCAATGGATATAATTTTGAGTGGTTAAGATTTTAACCTATTAGTTATTGACGTTATGTCACATCCAAATACCTGATCCGAGTCGAATTAAACAAGTCTGCAAAACAAAATTAAACAAGCACAAAATATTTGAAAAAAAAAACAATAAGAATATTAAAAAAAAAGAAGCACAAATATAAAAAGTATAACTCATACTCACATAGACCATCCATATAAATTAATTCATTCTAGTCTATTCTATTGTAATTTCTATTGTAATATATGAAGTGCTAAAGTATACAATTTCGAAGAAAAATCAAAATTTAAAGAAATATATATACTTCCAAAAAAAAATCAAATTTTTAGAAATGGTTCTTGTAGTTTTTTTTGCAAGACTATACAATTTTCATATAGCTTATAAAACAAATAGTTTTCCATATAAAATGACAAAGAAATTCAATATTTTAAGGATAAAAAAATTAAATATTTTAATATCTTAATTTTAAAAGGAGAATATGATACCTCCAACATCTCAAACAATCGCCACATCATTATTAATTTGCTTTCTTTTACTTTCGTTAGTAGCCTTTCAAGAAAAAATAACAAATCTCACAAGAAATAAATCATGCCAAATGATTAAAACCTTCAGCAAAAAAACTATGTGAATATGCACTTTGCATGAGACCTACTCATAACTTTAGCATGAGCTAAATAATTCTTGCAGTATTATGCCTCCAATGGGAACATACACTACACACCACACCACACACGTATCACAGGAGGATCCAATGGTGCCAATTTACACAAAACTACCGTTCATCCACACCGTCCATCTCGATAATAGAATGTCGATGCCAACCAGTTTATAGCATCCATAAATTGTGTAAAGTCATGTCGACATCCTACTTTGGCTAAGACAATTCTCTAACACTCACAACCCCAAAAGTATAGGGTCTGGACCTAGAAAACTTCCTAGACCCGTCCTAGACCATAAACTCACCTTTCCATTTAACACCCCCTTTCTACCCTAAACTGCACTACCAACCGTTCTAGTATAGTACACCCTAGTGCACCACATTCTATACACCCTATAGAACAACCCAAAAATACCAATTTGGTCCCCCTATTATTCCAACCACGATTTGGCCCTAATCTGCCTATATAGGAGCCCCCATGCTAGATTAGACCTAATCCACCTTTAATCAAACTTTATTTAGTGAAACCCTTAATATTTCAAAGTGATTCATTAAAGCCATAAACTTATGAAAACCCCAAACTACCGTGCCAATTTACTTAGTGACGAACCATACCAACGAAACACTGCTTAATTTCTTGGTCCATTGCCTAATTGCGCCCCGAATGAAGCGAAGTCACAAGTAATGTTGCAAGGCACCGGGCTTCTCTTGGGGCGGGAATGGGTCTATATGTTTCAGGTCGTCCAAGTCAATTGGATCCAGACCTGGCCAATTAGGTCGGGTTAGGTTCGGATCTATAAATTAAGAAACATAACAATTATTTAAATATTTTATACTATATAATTAACATTATGTATATATGTTTTATTTTATACAAATATAAAGCAGGCTCGCCATGACAGGACCTAACCTAGCTCAATAGGATCCAACCGAGACCTAGATGTGAACCCCACCCAGGTAAGGTCAAGGCCAAGTACAAGTGAACTCCACCCGGATAAGGTCAAGATCAAGTAGACCCAAGCTCGGCCCGTCGGTTACATTGTTTGGATCCAAACCCAGAACCAGTTAGTTCGATCCATCGAGTCCACAAGTTGACCCAACCAAATTCCTCCCTCGAGGCTTCTCGGACCACAAACATAGCAAAAGGGGAATTATTGCAACATTATTCATTGAACCACATCCACAAAGTCCTCCCTATTGAGGAACCTGTTTGATGCACCATCAGATCAAACGAGAGGGCTGGCCGTGCAATCAACCCACCTATTAACAGGAAGCTGATAGCAAGGCCGGCAACTTCTTGAAAAACAGGATTCAATTGAACAGAGCTCACTGCAAGTCAAAACACTTCTTGAAATTTTGAAAAGTCTGTCGTATAGAGAGCTCAATTTTGTATACAATAAAGAATAGATATACATGTAATGGCTGAATTTCGTATATGATGAAAACAGATATACATGTAATTCTTTTTTGCATTTATGAAAAGAGATTTACAGATTCAATAAAAAAACTCGCAGCATGAAAGAGCAAACTGCAGTAGATACCGAGCAATTGCTTCGACCTCAACTTGCGATTCCTAGGCTGACCTGCCACCTTTGCCAAGTATAGTTACAACCATGGTTAACAAATTTTAGGCTGACATGCCACCTTTGCCAAGCATAGGTACAACCATGGTAAACAAATTTCAAAAGGGTTGTTAGCATTGTAGGAATGGAAACCAAGACCGGTAGCTGAGTCATGCTAGCACCTTAACTTCAATCCCATTCCTAAGATTGAACATTGTAACATAGAATATGAAATATGAACTATACCAAGAAAAAGAGAAATACGTATTCTATCATGTGGCCTCTCTCCACTTCATCATGAACAAGAACAACTAGAATTCCTGATACTACGCGAACCGAAAAAAACAGAGGGGGTAGAATCATGATAATCCAAAAATACACAATTAACCAGGAAAATCCGAGTTGTGAGCATGCATGGTCATCTCTTTCTGACTTCTCTCCCGTAACATCGACATGAAATCTCAAAAATTGATGGTAAGCAAGAAGAACCCAAGATTACACTTGCATAGTTTCAACTCCATCCACCTCACCGGGAACCTCATTGAACATCGAACATGAAATCTCGAAAATTGATGGTAAGCAAGAAGAACCCAAGATTACACTTGCATAGTTTCAACTCCATCCACCTCACCGGGAACCTCATTGAACATGAACTGGTTCTGATACTCCACTAGGTACTGGGTCGATCTCTTCACATCAAGGAAAAGTTGGTAAACCCTACTGATATCTTCCATCTCCACAAGCTTTCCCTTACGTTTTTGGCAAGCGAGCGAAGCAGCTGTTATCAAATGAATAGCATACCTTAGAGAAGTCTCTACCCCAATCTTTGTCAAAAGGACCTTTGCATCCTCCGACATTTCCACATCTTCCTCGTCACACCTAATATCGAGAATTTTTCGAATTTCTTCTTCAGTGTAGGGTTGGGTGGAGATGATTAGGAGTCGATCAAGAAGGTCTATTGGGATTCCATGTGGGGACTTGTAGTTTGTGCCTCGAATTCTTGTAATGCCTCGGTTTGTCGCCACCACTAAGATAGGGGCCATCTCGTTCTCTAATGCCCGGTTGAGGAAAGAGAAACACTCAATGTCAAGCATATGGACTTCATCAATGAAGAGGACCCCTGGCACAATCTCAGCTTTGCCTTCCTCTCTCCACTCTGCCACTTTAGTGTCAATCTGTTCCCTGACCTCTGCTCGGATCTCACCTGTGTCCCCAGTGAAGAGAGCAAGAAATCCTTGCGTCCTGAAAATCAGGCATTCTTTTCAATATACTTGAGGGAGGAAGAGAGGGGGGAGGAATAGAAGGATACTAGGAATTGATCAATAATCTACAAGTAAAATGATATCCAATGACCAATGTTCAATCATGAATAGATATCCAATTAAATAAATTATTAGATACATCTTAAACCATAGCATGTATAGAACAGGTAAATTACAAACCATTTATGGTATAAACATTCCATAGAGAACCTTCGAAATCACACTTGATGTGTCCCAAGTTATATGATAGTCATGTATAGAACAGGTAAATAACCAACCATTTATGGTATAAACATTCCATAGAGAACCTTTCAAATCACACTTGATGTGTCTCAAGTTATATGATAGTCAAGAAACACAAGTCAAACTAAAGACCTGGGGCATCAGCTATGTATAAAATGCGCTACTAGTTACCATGCTTTGAATGTGTGCACATTATTCTTTGAAAGATACTCTTGTTCAGTTTCAGAAGATTACTTGTCACCCTGTTCATCTAACCTGGAATCCAAAGGCCTTCAAGCATTCTTCCCAGACCTCCACAATGAAGTAAAAAAGAACATCTCACTACAAGAGATGCAAAAACTACAAAAGCATCCTAATGCTTCATTCTAAAAGAAAAAGAGAAATGCTTGGGCTCCCTAAGGAAGAATGATCTCTGTAACCTGTCATGTCAGACCAAGTAGAATAGTGAAATCATTTTGGAGGCATTTGCATCAGTTCCGCAACCGAGTGGGTCCCAATTAATCCTGCCTCACAGTGTTTGTAGCCAGGGGTTCACATCCCTTAGATATCTACTTCTTTCAATATTCCACAAAATACATAAAGATCTGCTTTTTATTGCTTATAAATGTACAAGGGCAAGCTTTCTATGCTTCCCCTACAACATAAAACTTATTTACTTCTCCTTATCCAATCGTCCATTCTGAATGGAGGGCTAAGATTCCCCCAATCACAATGTCACGTCTCTACACTTTTATTTTTAATTTTTTTTCTATAAACTATTTTCACACCAAATTTGTACGTCCAATCCTCTAGTAAACTCACACTAGCGAAAAATATAAAAACAATATTTCCAATAAAATAAAATGACCAAAATACCCCTAAAGGTTCAAGGGGTATTTTGGTCATTATATTTTATCGAAAAATTATTTTTTATATTTTTATAAGTGCACCCCAATGAAAAGATGGCACGTACCAAATTTCATATTCATTAAATTTGTATAAAAAAAATTAAAAATAAAATACTTTGAGACGTCGGATCTAAGATCAAACGGTGAGTGGCTCTCTTGATCAAAATTGGACGGCTGGATGGTAGTGGAAGCATAGATCTTCTATGCTGTAGGGGTAGAAACCTTTCCCAATATATAAAATTCTTAACCAGTCAAAAACAAGTTACCCACTTCCAAGACATCTAAAAAAGAGATCCCCCAGCAAAATTGCACCAAGGACATTCCACAAAACTAGAGGAGCTAATTGCAGGATAATGACAATATTTACCGAAAAACATGTCCCTCAACCCACAAGAAATTGGAGTACAAATGAAAAGATCGCTATTCACTTGTGGTAGCTGGTGCCCATCTAGCAGGTATGAAATTGTTGAACCTTCTTTCATTTTGGACAAGCAATCAAATAACCAATTTTGCAAAATTCTTTTCATTTGATTTTAGTTGGTGCAACATTTGAGAACAGTAACATGATATTATGGCAATGAGAAATCATTCAAAACTAGTGACACAAAAATGAAAGACTAGTGATTTTTCATGAAATTTCACACCCATAGGAGAGAAGTTATTGAAATAAACTCTTAGAGGTATGCTGCTTCTAAGAATAGAAGGCGACAACTATCTCAAACATCACAGCCATTTCATACAATGGCAACTAGCCCATTACTGAATTACAGAAAACTACAGTCATGCTTTTTTTTCTCTAGATTGGTAAGAGAATTTGTTTAATATAGAAAAAAGTTCAACATAAGGGAAGATATAAACTACAGCAAGAGATGTCATGGTAGCATCTCCTCAATTATCCAGCAAAAAACCATATCAAAGTGATACAAATTTTGTTAGTATAGAAAGCAGTCCAGCTAATTGGTTTTATTCTTTTTGATTGGTCACAGTCATCTCACTGTGAAGCAAGTGAACCAATTTGCACAGAGTAATTCAAATACAGCATCCCAACCCCCCCCCCCCCACACACACACACACACACAAC